TCATATCTTTCATACCCTTTTTTTGATATGTAGAAGTTATTTATAAGAATTTTAGATTAGGTGGAAAAATGAATGAAAAAGTATAAATATGATGACTGGGCTAACCAAAGATAATGACACAAGACTTGTTGTTATAAGAGGGAATCATCGCTTTACTTCTGGTAAATACTTGCAAAAATTTGATTTGGTTCTAGTAGTTCTACAAATTGATTTCATCCATAGGGTAAAAAGGTCGCATAGCTAAAGGCATTTTACTGAAGATGTTATAATCACTGCTTGATTAATTAATTACTTAAGCAGATATTGTTTTTCTTTATCAGAAGTGATTGAACAGTAAGAGTTTTACAAAATTTTGAATTTCGCTGTTTCATTCCTTTTTCAATCCTTTAGCAAGTAATACCTGTGTTGCTTCAATTTCTTTTTTTAAGTTTCTAGTTTCTATAATACTGTTTTTATAGTCACCTGTCACTTGTATTGGCAACTCGAATTACCTCAAATTACCTACCTAATCCTTTTATTCAAACAAGAATTCTAAAATTTTTGTTTGATCTCCTACTAGAGGCCTTTGAAGGTAAGGCGCCAGTGTCATTTAAAAATCCTTATCACTTATTTTCTACTTTTAATACTATCAATTCAACATTCATATTCGCTGCTAATCAAATTGGCTCTTTGATAATTCTTCCCTTAAATGTCGTTTAACTAAAATAGAATTTGAAAAGTCAAATGAATACTAAGCAAACTTTTGCTCTATTCCTTTCATCCTAGCAAATAAAAACTGTAATCAAATCTTATTTTGCTAAAATAATAGAGTAAGAGCATGTCAACTTATCAATAGAGAGGAAATAATTTTTTAGGAATTCAAAGTTTTGATATATTTTAATAGTGCTGATAGACGGCAGGGGTTATCTTTGCATGAATCAGATGAAGGTCCACTGTAAAGGAATTGAAACGATGAGTATGTTAGAGGGGGACGAAGAAGAAGAAATAACGAAATAGTAAAAAAAACTGTCGAGCGGCAACCCTTCATCTGGAGAGAAGCCTTTGCTTCTGATAGTGCATGCAAAAATATTTGCAGTAATCAGTTTCTATTCAAAGCGAAAATAAATAGCAGCCTTTTTCCGATTCAGTGCCTTTATTTAATACTTCTCAAGCCTTTCTACTTTCATTTTCACACAACTCCTAGAAGCAATCATCTATACTGTTTATTTTAAGGAGTACAGGGACAAGAATCAGTCTTTTGTAAATCTGAGATATTAATTGCTGTCAAAAATCACTGATCATGTTGCGCACATCATGCTCAAATGGCTAAATTATATTATATGCTATACGAACAAGCATTAATTAACTGAAAACTTACCTGCCACTTTTTTATAAATTTCTCAAAATTCAGATCAACGATCTTATTTAGAAAGCAATAAGAAAACTGAGAAAATGTTCACTGTTGAAACATTCTTGAAGATTCTGACTGGTACTACAGTCAATACAATTAATTGTATGAAATACATATGGAACTATAAAAATGTTACTAAAATAGATCTCAGTGATATTTATTAAAGTAAAGTTATCAAGGCGCTGATCATATGGAAGAAATGCAGTAATTTTATATATTTCTTGCAAAAAAAATTTTTTTATTAGTAAGGATTTTTTTTGTAATATACGGGAAATGTTATAACTAATTGTGGTCTTTTTGATACAGTGCCGAAAATTCTTTGTCATTAGACGAAATTCTTCATTGCTGATAATAAATGGATATTTTCCATAAATTCAGAACAATAATCAGCCTGGTCCTAGCAATCTCGACAATATCTGAAATGATAAAATAGCCTCGTCCTTAATGCACTGTTGTTGAATCATTGGAATCTTATTTGAAAATTAAGGATGACTAACTGTGGAGATGAATTTCTTTTAATTCCTTTGAAAGTATCACTAAATATTTACTAAAAACAGAAGGTGACATTTCTTTATAGACAGCATGTCAATATCCTATTCATAAATGATTTTGCAAACTGAAATATAAGCCAAGCGCTTCTGTGTTGGAAACAAATTTTTTGAATGGAATTTGTTGCTTTGAGATAGCTTATAGCAAAAACAACTTGTGACATCAAATGCTTTAACGATGTAAGAAAAAAAGATCCTTCATTCTCCAAAGAGCTAATACTCTTCAAAAAAACAGTTGCCTTCAAAGTTGCCCAAAAACCGCTGAAATTAATTTGTCAAATTTTAGTAAATCTTTCATCTAACATAGATAGAATTTTAACCCATAGCAAATAGACTTACCCATCTTCAAAGTGAAGGGATTACCGTTTAGTAAGAACAAAATCTTAATCCTTCTTTATTCATCATTCTTCAATATTAATAGCTCACATAATCACTTGAGGCGCAATGCAAAAATACATTTCACGAATAAACCCTTAAACCGAAATTGTTAGAAACAAATGGTAGAAATGTTGCGAAAGTATTTGTACTTAAATTTCATCTGAAATTTGGAGAATTTTGTTTATGTTTAATAAATTAGAATATAGTTTACTCTCTGCATTGTCCCACAACCATGCTTCTCTGCATTTCTTGCTATTTGTAACTTTCTTCGAAAATAAAGTTCAACTTAAGTTGGCTCTGAAGTTATTATTCAGTACCGAAACGATGGGTAGCACTTATAGCTTTCACCAGTAACGAAGAATGGAACATAGGGACCAAATTCTGCTAGCTTTTCTGACCTGTCACTGTAAACAACTCATCAATTTTTAGTTGTTTACGTCTTTGAGCGCCTGCTGCCAATTTCCATTATGTCATCGTTTCTTTTCCTCTCAAAAACCTAAAAGAGTTCAAGGGTCATGCAGACAGTAAGCTAATCTATCACATACATTTTGAGTTATTAATTGAGTCTTAATGGTCAAGACCATTATCACCATAATAGATTTATGGTTGATTCTTTTACAAAATAGATTTACTAATCCACCTTACGACCAATTTTCAGTACTCTCTTTTGCTTTCTTTTCTCTGCTGAATTCAGATTTCACTATCAGTTCCTACATTTAACAAAATCTTTTCTTACTCTTTACACTAATTCTGTCATTTATTTAAGTCTGATAACATTTTGCATCGTTCTGTTTTAAAATTCCTCAATTTTGAGACCTTATTGTTTTGAAATTCGACATTAATTTGGGCCGAAGAGAAAAGAAACTCAACATTTCAAATGTTTTTTCCCACCAATTTTACTCCTTAATTCATTTTTCCACTTTGCTAATTAGTGTCTAAGCATATTTTAGGTTGTAAAAAAACGTTGCATTTTTATTTTTTTACGTGGATTCAGTTACAGTTCTTTCATCTTGTATTTAACAAAGCCTAAATTTTTTACAATGTAGAAAATTATTGTGTCTTATTTTATTCAGTGATTTCCTTTCAAATTTCGGGAAATACCAAATAATTTGGAACAATTAGTTTCTTGACCAATGTAAATTTTTAGATATAAGTTTTCAAGTTTAAGTTATTTCAGGCATTTCCTTTTGCTAAACTTTAAAAATCTTTAAATTTTTTCGGCAATGTAAGACGATATTAACATGTTAGTTATATGGATGAGCGGATGTTGACAGCAGCAGGTTATCAATATAGGAAATCAAATTCTGTGTATTTGTTTCCACGTTGGAACTTACCCTCAAGGCGAAGCATTGTTTGTATGGCTGCCAGTTTATCTAAATCCAATCCAATCATTTTTAAGGAACCAAAATTCGGGGTAAACGATTGATTTTATTTGTTTGGACAGCGACAATACCAGTGATGTGTCTCGCTTGGCGACAATTGCTATAACAAGTAGTTTACTTTTTGTTGTTATAATGCCATCTTTGAAAAATCTCAAATTAATTTAATCTTATTTTTGGTTGAGACAAACTAGGCCATATGTGATCAATTGTTAAATGATGCATATACTTCCTTGATTCTCTCACATTACCGCCGCTGTACCATTTATGCATGATTTTATGGCATACTTTGTTTAAGAGAAAGAATTAAGGAAGAGCAAAGGCTTCTGTAATCCAAAAATTCATCACTTTTGAAAGCAGAAATTTTCTATTTTACTTATTGTTCACATTGCTAATTAATTAATCCATGCATTATTTCGTTTATTTGCTGATTTTTCTCCGCTTCCACTTTAAATATGAAGTCACTTATTCCATATTAAAATTTATTTTTTTATGTATAATAGAACACTGAGCAGTTTTATGTTCACAACAAGAGGTGGAAAATGAAACCAATTCTGATATAAATCTTATTAATAAATCACTTCCATATCACTCCAATTTATAAATTCCCCACTGAAAACTTAAAAAAAACAATCGTTATTTTTCGGAGACTTCTGTGTGTTTACAATTTTCTCAAATTTTCACTTTCAAATATTCAAAGATTTAAATTTTTTTAAAATAGTTTTTTGCAGCCCAAATTGGCACATGCATTCATTTTGTTTTTCAAAAACTCTTCCATTCTGAAAAAAAAATTTTTCAGTCTGTCATAAATTCAGAGCATGTCAGTTCGATATTATCAAACTTTATTATTCTTTAATTTTTGGAATATTTTAGAAGTTTGATTTGAGATGAATGAATAACAAATCATTCATTTCGATATTATCAGACTTTGTCATATAGTGCATTCAGTCCTTCTTAATTTGCATAAATCAGGACAGTGACAAGAGAAGCGGTGAGCAAAAACGATGCTTTGATACCATCTCAATCATATTTATTTGAATGGATCTGGTTAGTTTCAAATCAAGGATAATTAACTGTGAAAGATGGCAAACAACTTGTCAAGAATGTTCTATCCTAACGCCAATCAAATTTTGTCCCATTTTGACGGTCCTTTATATAATCAAAATAACTTTCTACTTGAAATATTTCTATATGATAGTCCTTTGATAGACCTGCCTCTTTAGTTATGATGTCCATTTTAAATCCTTTCATTATTCTTTCTTTTTTTTTCTACTCGTTTTCAGATATCTGCTATCTACAGAGTGCTTAACAAATAATTGTCAGATCGGGGTGAATCTTTCCTGATATATTATCTTCATTTATGAATTCCGGTTTACTGCATACCTAAAATCGCAATACGATCTCTAATTTTTCTAATAAATTTCTCACTTTACTAAGCGTCCGATTTGGGAACCTCGGGAGCTTCATATTGTTATTAATTTGATTCTGCCATTAAATACTATCGAAAAAGTGAGTCGAAAAACTGTAAATTTGGTCTTGTCAAAAATTTTTTTTCATAAATTAGATAAACTCCAATCATTTGATTTGTCAATTACTCAAATCTAAATTCGATTCATCAATTTGATGAGTTGCAGCGTCCAGTGAGATTGTACAATTGTTTCATTTCAGAATGCTTTACTTCTGAAAGATGGAAAGAAAAAAGCAGATGAATTTTAACATCAAATACTATGCTGCTATAAACTTTCACATGATTTTATCTAGGAGTGACCATTTCACTTCTTGCACTTCCAAAACATGTATCAAAGCTATGTAACTGTTTAGAGCAGAAATTAACTTAGAGTATTGGATTTATATACGCAGACTTGACCTAACATCGTGTTAGACGGAGACAACACGTAAATTGTTTGAGACCACTTACTTATGTAAAACAAATGTCGAAGTTTCATTTGATAGGAAGGGAGAATTGTTGTAGTGTGAAGTTTTTCATGACACTTAGTTTATAAACCAAAACAAGGAAACAAATTGAAAAATGTAAGTAACGAAATAAAAGCGGGGAAGTAGTTAAAGCGAAGTAAATAGTCACCTCGGGTGAGGTTGGCAGTAAATTATGTTCAATATATTGCGTTAAAGCTTCCGCTTCACTTGTTTTCCATTATCTACGCTTTTATAGTCGATGGAATAGGCATGGATAGTGACCGGATTGCCCGCAAATTCAATCCGACATAATGAATGGCATGCCCAAGCTATTCCGATTACTTTTTCCACAGTGGCGGAATATGAGCGGTTTATCAAACGATATCCTGTTGTTCAGGAAGTTTTGGTCCTCTTCTAGAATTCAGGAAAGTAATATAACCTCCTTTTTTATCTTTGCGTATTTTGCGTATCAACTATACATGATAAAAGCGGATTTTAACAGAAGAGGGAGCTGGTTTCTTTTTTTCTCAAATGATTTCCACAAAGAGGCTACAAATTATAATTAATTGTGTATTTACTCTCATTTTAAAGACTTTACTACAGTTTCCACCAACTAAAACTAAATTATCGTCATCTCTATCGTCTGAATCGGCGTTATTATTACTATCATAATTATCTTTGTGACTGCCCTTTAATTTGCTTCTCACTTGTCACGGTTATTATCACAGCAATAATCTCAACATTATTATTGCTATCCTCTTCATTTGTAACTCGTATTTTGTTTTTCATTGATTTTATTGTGATGAATTTCCTCATGTACTCCGTGATTACTAACACATTCGTTTCTTTTTATGATGTTTTAGGATTAACAAATGCTTGATCGTGTCGTCAATTCAGTACTGTCTCAATTTTTTATCTATCTAGTTTTACCATTTTTTCACAAATTTAATCAGAGAAGGATATTTATGTATATTAACAAAAAAGGTAAGTTGAACTTTGGAAGGATTGATTTCATCTTTCATTTTCGACTTTAATAAAAGCGTGCAGTGAAACATTGAATTGTCAATTTGTGATGGAATGAACTTTTGGTTTCATGAAAACTCCGAATCCAACAAATATTTGCTTGGACAGAAGTGACAGCGTAGCATTATAGAGGACTCCTCAAAGAGTGCTCTACAGGAGTGCTCAAAGACAAAGTAAAAATCGCTAAAATTTTTTGAGTAATCTCAGATGTTCTTTGAAGTGCTGGAAACTCCGAATTCTGAGGACAAGTAACATCAACACTATTTTTCTCTTCCCATTGGTTTGTCATTGCAAATTCAACAAAAAAACTATCAACTCTTTCCCTTCCCCTCTCTTACCTCATCCTCATCTCTCTCCTCGGAATGTGAAACTTGAGAATTGGCTTTTTTCTTCATTCGCTTTTCTTTGCTATTTTCAACATCTCAAAATGTTTGACACATTTCCTCCCGTTTTTTTTTTTTGAGGTTTTCTTATGAGATTTCGTAAACCTTTGTTTGATTTGATAATGAGAACATTTGATTTGAATGGGAAATATCATATGCTTGTCGTTCGAAATATGATGACATAAATGCGAATAACAACATTTGATTGTGCTTTATTAAACTTTCTGATTTTCATTCGCATCTCTTCTTTTTTCACAGATTCTTCTCGGGAATAACGATAGCACCAAATTGCTTACTATCGCTAACCCTTTAATACTATTAGTCATTTGTTTCAGAATAAAAGAAAACCAAAAATATATTTATGTTTTCAATCTTTCTAAAGCAAAAAGAAAAGCGAAGGTTTGAACATTCTCTTTGGCACTCAGAGAAAACATTTCATTTCAAAACCTCATTTACCTCTTTCTTTATATCTAATATTTCATTGAACTACATTTATTTGTAGCCTAACTTTCTGCTGCCATCATCAGTCACAGAAATAAAAATAAGTTAAATTAATTTTAGTTGTTTACGATCGTCTCTACTTTTGGACATTGATTATTTTTAGACAAGGCATACATTGCTGTTACTTATTACAAGAATAAGTTGTAGTAGCGAGAAGAAATGTCTTTATACACGTCTCTCATTTCCAGATACTGCCATATATTCCTTTTTTGGTTACAATTAGGTTTTTAAATTTATAAATTGAAATATAAAATTTGAAAAGAACAGTCTTTGTATAGAGAAGTGCTAAACCGTTTGGCATTTCAACAAAAAATTTTCTGTGGGCTATCAAAAATTTATGTAATTTCTCAAAAACCCTCTAATATCGCTCTGGAATACAAACAAATAACTTATCTAAAATTTGATTCGAACAACTTATCTGAATTTGTCTAAAATTTAATTATCTAAATACGATTTATCTAAAATTATTCAAACTGATACAACTTATCTAAATAACAAGCAACTTATCTAAAATTTGGTTCCATCCAAAAGTTACATATTCTTAAATTTTCGCCATAATATGTATTCGAAAATTAAATATGCAGGAATTTAAAATCGTTTTCAAGCGTTATCTCAAAATTTGAGATAGAGTAATAATACTTCAAGCGATATCTTTGGTGCCGTCTTAATGCCTAAAACATTATCATCATTGCCTTTTTTCTATTTTTACTTTCTGCATCATTTGTTATCAACATATGGTCTGCGCCAGTACTATTTCAGCAATTCTCATTTCCCAGAATATATTCGGAACCTTTTCAGGAAAATTATCCAAACTCAGAAACAAATAATGAGAGCAACTGAACGATTTGATTGCTGAAAGACGCACTTGGCTATGAATTTCTGAACAAACGACAATATGGTTGACGTTTGCCATAATGATGACAATATAAACTTTTTCCAGTAATAAGCTGAAGTGAAATGAAGCATAATGCGTGGAGAGGAAAAGAAAAGTTGGTTTTCATTTACAATCACTTCTTTGATAATATACGAAGCGCAAACATCAACGAATTTGAAATCCTTAAAAACACCGCCACTTTTCATCTTTTCTAATATCAAATTCAAATTTTTTGGCAATAATTAAATCTACTTAATGTTCTCATCGTTTGTTGACATAGTTTGCATAGTTAATGCGAAAATATTGTTGAAATGGGATTAAATATGAAAAAACGAAGAGCAGTGATAGAAGATGGAAAATATGATGATTTTTGAGAATTACTTTTCCGAGTTCGGAAGGAACCCTCACAAATTAAGATTTTCTTTCTTCATTCAGTGCGAAAGAATTTTAAAAAATATTGATCTTGGGAAAAGCTCTCTTCTAAAAGAAGTTTTAATATTTTTGAAATTGCGATTTATTTGGAAAATTATTCATTTAACTCCCAAAAACTGGAATTTTTTGGAATTGCATTACCCAGTTTATTTCTTTCAATTTGGGACATTCAAACCATTAAGTCTTCTTTTCTTAATTAGATTCTCACTAGTATTCTGTGAGTTTTTCGATTGGTTTTTGGCCTCATGTATTCTCAAAATTTGATGAAATGTTCAATTGATTTTGTAAGACGTAAAAATCTTAGTCACCATTAGAGAATGTATATTCGCTGTCGCTTTTTCATTTAATTTCAAAAATTTTTGGGATTTGTGTAATTCCTTCAAGTTCTGCTAAAGCTGATTATCATTATATTATATTTAAAAAATTTATTGCACATTTCTCACTTTTAAACATCGCTGTTTAAACTAATTCTTTGAAATTGTAATATTTAAAAACATTTTGTCTATAAATTTTGATCTCAAAATAGTAAACACCACCGGACTGATATAGTTTCATGCCAATTTTGGTGTTATTATCGTCACAATGCTTATTAACATTTGTCATTTGAAAATTCATCATAAAATAAGGTTTTTCAACAATCTGTTTGATTGCCTAAAATATAATGGATGAACTGTTTGCATATAAACAATGACAATGTCAATTTGTAGGGTTTACAATGGTAGCTAAATGAAATAATTAGCCTATGTTAAGCGGAATGTTATTTATTCTAAATGATTCATTGCCGCCAAAAATCAATGATAACTTAAACAATTATTAACTTAAAAGTCAAAAATTATGATTACATTAGCTCACAAACAGTGCTTTTTATAAGGGAAAAATTTTGATTTTATATCAGATAATTGAAAAATTAGTCATTTAAACGATCAGCTAAATGATAGTTTCTCTTCTTTTTAACTTCCTCATTTTTGAAATGTTTCACAAAAACATTTACGGGTTAATTTTGCTAAGATTATATGCTACAAATTCTGCTAATCTTTATATATTCTCTTCTCCACTTATTTTAATTAATTTTTATTGTCAGACTTGTCTTCTCATCATTTCATTTTTCAATTGATGAATATATTTTAATACTTTTCGTTTTATTACCAATATCGTTGGGAAAAAAAATTCTGATGGAACATAAAACTGAATCTGTGATGGATAAATCGTTTTCAAAAATTTGATACTATTATAAAATTGATGAAAAATTGAAATTATCCTTCTCTGTAAAATGCTGCATTGATTAATTTTTGTTTCCAAACCACTAATGTGTTAGTTTAATTTGTTTGTAGTAACAAAAGCATTCTTTTAATATCATGGTTTGTTTCATCATTCGTATCTCATCGAATGTGCAGCAGGAACTGTCGACAAAGATCTTCACCAATAAGCTTTTCATCGATTGTACTGATCCATAGAAGTAACTTTTGTAATGACGGAAAGGAAAAAGAAATAGACTCCCTCATCTTCTAGAATTTTTGGGGTCAGCCAGCCAAAACACGAGTTAAAGCATGAAGGTCATTATTTTCTGCTTCAAATGCTTGTACAGACATTAGATTGTTCATAAATTCAATTTAATGTCTCTCTCATCAATTGTACATACTGCCGAGTATCAATTAATAGACGTGGCTCCATACAGTCATTTGACTAATTTTAATCTACTGGCTGATTAAACTATCAGTCTAACAGAGGACTTCTGAAGAAATTTATTTTTGTTGCGGTTATCTTAATGAAAGCGGTTGAATCGTCTAATTATCTTAATGATTTGTTAAGCTCTATTCTTCTACACTCACTGAATCCATTTCTCCGTGATGATTTGAAAACTTTTTCTGTGAGATTGATTTCTGTCATCGTTTACGCAAAAGTTAACTTAATTCCTCTCAGATCGTCAATAAAAGTAAAAAGTAAAGATGATCTCCCCAGCACTGAATCGTTTTATTTTGTCGCTCTCCCTCTTTTCCTCATTAATTAACTTTCACAGATGGAATCATCCATGTTAGACTTATTTCTGATCGTTTTTATGAAGACTAAAGTTAATAGCCATGGATGATGTATGATAATTTGTTCAATTCTCTTTTGTTTTTGAATGTTTTCTATTTTCTCAGTTTAATCAATTTATCGCGAAATCTTTTTCTGCAAAAATTGTAAAGTCTTTTTCCATAGATGAAAAGAAAGTT